CTCTAGCCCGCCGCCCCCCGCGCCCGCCCCTGTCCTTCACGACCTCAGCTCCGCCACCGCTCCCAGCCAGTGATGCGGCGAGGGTCCTGTTCCCTGCAGATCAGAGGCCGGCCAGTTTCACTCTAGCGAATAAAGAGCCTTCCCCACGCCGGGTGAGACCTCGGGACCCACAGCGCCGCTGAAGCAGCCTCTCCTCGCTCCCGCCCTCTACCGCACACAGATGACCCCTTTTAACCTAGGGCAGGACCCCTGAGCGGTGCGCTGCAGAGTTGTGGGCCCGGGGCCCAGAACTGCGCCTGCCTGGTTCTGACCTCAGCAAACAGCCGCACCGACCTCACTCTCCGCTTCCCCGCGCCGGGCCCCCATTGAGATGCCGCGGTCTCTTCCAGCAATGTTTCCAGACTTTCCATCGAAATTCGGCATTCCTTCTTGGAACCACTCTCCACCTGTGTTTCTTCTACTCAGATCTGTTTCCTGAGCCCGCATGCGTACCAGGTGGTGCACTGCACCGGTGGGCCCTGTCGGTGGGGACCTGGCCGGCTAGACACTCTGTTTCCTTGGGGTGCTCCTCCCGGTTTAAGGGCGTGTGCCTATTTGAATACACATTGCATCTTGGCTGAGCACTTACATATGGTGGGCCAGATCCTGGGCCAGGTGATGGGGCAGGATGGAGGCGGAAGGGTAGGCACGTGTGAGCCCTAGGAAGCTACGAGGGCGTTGAACACCTGTCCACAGGTAAGTCTCTTCAGGCGGGAGATGGGTGCCCCGCAGTGACAGGCTTCCAGAGCCACCAAAAGAAACTGGAGTTGGGGCGCCTGGGTGGCGCAGTCGGTTAAGCGTCCGACTTCGGCCAGGTCACGATCTCGCGGTCCGTGAGTTCGAGCCCCGCGTCAGGCTCTGGGCTGATGGCTCAGAGCCTGGAGCCTGTTTCCGATTCTGTGTCTCCCTCTCTCTGCCCCTCCCCCGTTCATGCTCTGTCTCTCTCTGTCCCCAAAATAAATAAACTTTGAAAAAAAAAAAGAAATGGAGTGAGTGCCAAGCCAGTGTGGGCGGGAAGCTGGAGAAGGCAGGTTATCCAGGTAGCAGCACTGGCCTGGCTGCTCAGCTTGGCTCTGTGACCCTTGCCAGGGGCCCTGCTTGCTCTGTCCCTCTTCTCCAGCCTATTTGTGTATACTTTGTGTTCACGTCACCAGACTTTTTCACTAAGTTTTCATTTTTTTTTAGTTTGTGTAATAGTTCTCTCCCTTCCCAAAGATAAGGACCCAGTTGTGTTTTTAGCCTTAGGTAATAAAGTGACAGCTGTTTACAACAAAGCATGGAGACTTAGTGACTTAGCAAGAGTGAAGGCTCTGGAGTCTGAGCTCTGCTACTACCTGGCTCAAGCTTTTAACTTCTCAGTTTCCCATCTATAAAAGGAGAAGATGCAAATAGAGGCGAGTTTCCCTAGGATTTAGAGTGCATGTAAAGAACTGGCACTCAATAAATCGTTATCGCCATCATCATCATCCTGTTTTAACTAATGATAATCGATCAGCTACTATGCTCCAGGCATTGTGGTAAGTGCTTTGTTTGTTTTACCTCTAAATCCACCCAGTTTCAGAGAAAGGGTCCCATTTTGTGGAGCAAGGGATGTGGTTTGACAAAGCCCATGCTTCTGAGCCACTCTGCTTTTCTGTGATTATTGTGAATAAGGAGATGATGCATAAAAAGCACCTACACGTCCCTGTATAACGGTAAGTGCCCCGGATACAGGATGGCTTTGATTAATTTCAGGGTTGTTTGTCACAAGGTGATTACTTGGACTTTTGTTGTGATAAAGTTCAGCTTTCAACAATGCACATCAAATTCTGTTATTTTTAGAATTCTTGTCACCAGTCGCAACCCCGAAATAAATGCAAAGAATTGCATAATTGCACTCTATAGTACAATGCGGTATACGTTTAGCCCATCAGAGAGGGCCGTCACTTCTATCAGGACTTTAAGAAAAAAGATGGCGGTGGCAAAGTAGAGGGTGCCGCCGCCAACTCCGAGCACTGGCTTGCCCTGGGGAGGCTGGGGCGGAGCCGGGTGGACGCCACGTGGGAGGCCCCGCCCCCTTGGGCCACCCCGCCTCCAGAGCCCAGGCGCCTGCGCCAGCTCCCTCAGGCTGGGCTCCACCTTAAGGAGCACGCGCACTCTGCCGCAATCGGATTGGCGGGTCCTCGCGCCCCACCGCACTCTGATTGGTGGAGCCGCCCAGTCTCTGGGTCCGGGTGTCCGAGCTCAGCTCCTTCAGCTCCGCGGCTGCCTGGAGGTGGCGCAGGCCAGCCGCAGGACTCGTCTTCAGCAGGGAGCTCCAGTCCAGGAGCTGGGGCAGCTCTCGTCGCTCCTGGTTCCGTTGAACCCCTGTCCACGACCTGGGTCGGGCATGTTTTCCAGGGCCCAGGTGAAGCGGATCCTGCAGCGGGTGCCCGGGAAGCAGCGACTCGGCGTTTACAGGTTCCTGCCCTTCTTTTTTGTCCTGGGAGGAACGATGGAGTGGATCATGATTAAACTGCGCGTGGGCCAGGAGACCTTCTGTAAGTGGGGGTGCAGCAGCGTCCGTTTCATTTCAGGAAGGCAGGAGGCGGCAAGGGACCCGTTTCCCTGGGGGACAGTCAGGTTGCAGACTGCTCATTCCACTCTGAGCGCTGAGCTGCCTTTACCGTGGTCAGAAGGGCAAGTACGGTTACATTCGCGGCCCCGGGCTCTCTTGTAAGCGGGGCGACAGAAGCACTTTGGTGTCCAACCTTGAGACCTTCCCTGCACTTTGAGGGGAGAGCACGTGACTCCACGCGGAACACCCTCCTCTCAAGCCAGCCCCTTCGTCCCTGCCCGCCGGTGACATTTGGTCCTAAGGAACACACTTGCTCACAGCACTGTAGAAGCGAGTGCGACCCTGAAGATTCATGGAAACACCTGCTAATTGGTCAGCCCTCTCTGGATTCTTCAGTCCAAACCCTGGAGGGAGCTGGTCCGCCTTGGCCTAGAGGATTGCCACAGTCTTTGCGGGGCAGAGTCACTGACACCAGGGCCCAGCAAAGAATGCCTGTGAAAAGAATGCCTGGCATTGCTTTGCCAAGCCTTAGCGCTAGTTACCCTTGTGGAAGAACTTTCCCACCCCCTTGGCCATTTCTGCTTTATTCCTCTCCAGAAACACGTTATCACTTGCGAATTACCAACCCTCGTTTAAAAACAATTTTTTTTGTGTTTGTTTATTTTTGAGAGAGAGCAGGTGCCAGAGTGAGGGAGGGGCAGAGAGAGAGGGAGACAGAGCATCTTAAGGGGGCTCTGCCCTGAGAACAGAGAGCCTGATGTGGGGCACAAACCCACCAAACGGGAGATCGTGACCTGAGCCAAAGTCAGATGCTTAACCGACTGAAC